TTTTATATCTGTTCCCTATATCATGTATTTGATCGTTCGTGCAGTGTTATTTCAAATGCTGCTAAAACGTCCATTTCAGCCAAGATTATTGCCTGAGGTATGTTTACTTTGTTTTATTTAGGGATATTCAAAAATGAAACATAGGATTCGTGTCTTGCTTCTCACAAATTCCACATATTATCCAAGCTTTAAATTGATTGTTATTTTAGGCAAGTTTCTTTAATGAGTATATGTTCCACTATTGAACCTATTTAAGTCTTCCTTCCATGCCCTTGGTAATTATGTTCTTCGATAAATTATAATTAGTATGGTGTTCTATATGTTTAGATATCCTTACAAATTTACAAGAGCGGCTCCAATGCGGCACTGTTCACATTTTTGAACGAAGTGTCATCTTTGAACATGGATAAAACAATGTTGTTTCATATGTTTTTTGTGCTCTTCATGCAGGTCTAAATGGAAGTAACTGAAGAATTTTAGTGCTTTCCTTTTATTTCTTAAAGACATTGTGTATTGTATAAAATTAATATGATATCGATTTCAAAATTATTTAAGTACTAATGTGGGAAGCACTCTTGGTACTAAAGTGGGAAGTAGTCTTGGCTTGTTCATATGACTTCTTTAAGATTAAATTTTCAATCTAGTTAATCCAATGATTTAATTTTAAGTTTGAACTTGATGTATGCTATCAGAGGTACTTGCTTATTTTTTAATGTGTGATTTTCAAAGCCAGAATCTTGATACCTAAATTTCCATTAATCTGTGTTAATCTCTTTTGGAATACTGGACGACTCTTTTTCTTTTCGTTAGTAGAAAGGGAAACAAAGCATTGACTAATTGTTTTTATATTCAAGCAGACTGCTGGAGTTGAAAAAATCATCTAGCAACTGGTAAGCATTATGTTATTTTTTTATACTTCTTAACAATTTTCGAAATTTATAGGTCATGAATTTAAATTGGTCTTCATCATGTTTTGTTTATAGGAACAAGGTGATCTGAAGCTTTGTGTACAGGCTTTGAAGTCGAGAATTGCTCAACATGTTTCAATGATTCAAAGTACAATTGGAGATATAAGTTAACTTCGTACCAATTTACAACTTTACCCAACAAAGCTTTGTCCATACCTATACGACAACTGATATAAAGTTGGTCGTAAGATTTAACTATGCTAGGTATGCGTCACAAGCTCTTCTCTTCGTCTTGAGAGTGTTCTACATTCTTATTTACCCTTTTTTTAGTGCTCTAAATTTTTCACTCTTGGATTTTTACATGTTAAAAATTTATTTCTTTTTTTACAGGCACATTAATGTGCGCTCATTTTCTCTAAATTCTATTTCCATTCTTACCATTATTAGTTGGTGGGTTCTTCGAATCTTTGTCAAATATTTACAAGTGATTTTCATTTTTCTTTTGTTACATTTTCGTTAGATTCAGAATTTTAGTATTTCCTTTTTATTTCTTAAAGATATTGTGTATTGTATAAAATTAATATGATATGGGTTTTAAAATTATGTAAATTTTGTTGAAGTCAATTTTTATCAACCTCCAGTTATCAGCTATATATCATAAGGCGTTGCTTGGTGGTCAATCTTTCTTTTTCGAATCTTGAATTGAGAAGAACTCAATGAATTACATCAAAGATATGCTTTCGACAAAACTAAACACTTTCTTTTTTTCTCTTTTTGTTACATATCACATTCTTCTTGAAATATAAATATTTCTACTGGAATTTATTTATTTATTTCGCATTAACAATGTGGTCAATCTCTCTCTCTTTCTCTTGAAAATAATACAAATAATGACACATTTATAGACTTTATATTGTTTCTTATGTAATTTACAATAGATGACTGGAGATGATAGTTTTAAAGCAAAAACAAAAATACGAAATAAAAGGCGTAGAGAGTTATATGCCGAATGTAAAAAAATACAATGTAGAAGCACATTTTGCCAAGCTAGAACTGAATTTTTTGACGAAGCTGGACTAACTTTGGGTGATGGAAGTAGTAGTTCGGAACAAATTGTTGAGCATAATTGTATTTCCGATCAATTTATAATTATCGATTATAAATCATTTTCCATTGGGGATACGTTCTTATTTTCGTTTTTAATTATAATTTATTCTATGAATTTAAAAGTCATCTTCCGTATTGTAGTTCGAAAGTTTTTCATCAACCATCATCAGACGTTGAAACTAGTAGTTCGAAACAATTTGTGGATGATCAACAGTACAAAAGGGATCCATGTCTACTTTACAACTAGGTTGGTATGCTACAATTTGATGAATGGTTTACTGATGTTAATTTAAGTAATGTTCCTACAGAGGCTCATATACTAGTACCGCCAACAATTTGTAATTATTGCAATGCAAAAAAATTTGAGAATGAAGGTAAAGGTTTTTGTTGTTGTGATGGAAAAGTTAGATTACAAAGTAAGTGTACCTAATAAGTTGTACAACTTGTTTAATTTAGATAAACATGATGCTTTATTTTCAAAAAATAACGAACGCAGTTATTATAACTATTTTGCTTTTACTTCATTTGGTATCAAATGTAATAAAGACTTGTACAAAAATTACAAAGGTATTTATACATTTCGAGTTCAAGCACAAGTTTATTGTTACATAAATGAGCTTGCAGTTGTACTTTTATGATACTGAAAATGAGATACAACGTAGATTACAAAAATAGACAAATTTTCTGAGTCAATCTTTACAAAAATTGATGCATACCTTAAGAATCAATCCATACTCGAATTTTTTTCGATCATTAAGTAATATTGATGGTTTAAAAACGTACAAAATACATATTAGATGTAATCTTGGTCTTGACCAAAGATTATACAATACACCTTCTGCATCACAAGTATTGCAATTTGGATTGATGACGATTCTTCTGTAGACATTAGAATTCGTGATATATCAATTTGTTGTCATTCTGGTGTTTCACATAGAATACGTTATTATTTTGGTTGTTATGATCCACTTCAACTTCGTTGGGCAAATATATAAATGATTTACAATTAAAATAATGTTACCTAACACTATTGATACTACAACATTAGTCTACGTGACGTTATGCAGGGGCATAGGAAGGGAGGCCTGTTTAAATTTTAGTGGATCAATCTAGTAGCTTTGTTTTACTCCCAGCTCCGCCCTGGCGCTATGTGATATTTTCAAACAATAGAATTAGACTACTCATATATTTGTATGAGTAATGTTTATTTGGTATCATTTGTGTTAAAACACCATTTTAGGTGGCAATAATGTAGTACTAAATGAGATTTATAATTAAATAATCATTTAATTGATAGTTTATTGAGCCTATTACTTAGCACTATCTAAATTGACGGTGTAGTATGGATGGTGCTAAATAACATTAATCTATTTGTATCTCTCATTTAATGTTACTAGCCACAAGAGAACATGCACGTTACTTTGAAATACTATATATGTTGTGTAAAAGTAATATTTGAAGATGATTTAATATAAAAAAATATTTTAAAAAAATTGTCTATGTGAAATGAACTTATTTAGCGAGAACCTCTTTGTACAATACATTTTTTTGTGTGATTAGAGATATCCGACTTAACTAAAATATTTGTAGTTGCCATATGAATTGAGCATTTAATTGAGATATGGTGTTCGCATGCATTCACGTAAAAAAATGTTCACAAATTGTTTTACATCAAGTTTCAAGAAGATGAACAAAGAAAGAAAATTAAACTAATAATTGAATGCTAAAGTTAATATCAAGGGCGTTTTATGAATTATGTAGTTACAAAATAAATAGTCGTCATAGTAGACGTATTAGCTCATTGTTGATTAAAATGAGCCTCAAAATATCAAAATTTTCAGCATTGTTGGCATAAGATTCTACCAAATTTCGAACACCGTCATTTTAATGGACCATTTATTTTTCATACCCTGATAAGTCTCTTAGGGCCTTTGATTTCACGATACATGAGAGCAAAATATTTGATGATTTAATGAATATAGAAAATTAATAATTTATATACACGTGATCTTGAAAAATAACTTAAACAAAAGGGTATGTACATGAACATGGAGAATAAATTTATATCATAGATTAAATGAATAATCTTGAAAATAAATAAGTGTATACGAATTTGAATAATTTATTTTCACCTAGAGTAATTGAATAGCCCCCGAACATATAAAAGTATAATTACTTTGCACAATTTTGATCTAAATACGATAGAAATGCAGGTCCTTGAAAATAAATGTTAATTATTATACTTGCACATAACTAATGAGATATATAATCGAATGTTAAATACATATTGAAAAATGAAAAGTATGATATTATAGAAATAATTGAATTATAGCAGAGTTAAAATCATCCAAAAAATAATTCTCACTTGATGTGAATATGATTAATTTATGCCATTTTGAACTAAATACAAGAGAAATACAAGTCTCTAAAAATAAATGTTAATTATTATACTTGCACGTAAATAGTAAAATATATAATTGAATGTTAAATATACATTGAAAAATGAAAAGTACGAAAATAATTCTTACTTGATGTAAACATTATAGATATTAATACCTTAGATCGATATTTAATATCAGTGATGCTAAATAGCATTATTTTCATATATAGAAATAGTAGTCAATGATAACATATATTGCATAGCAAATCCATGTTGTTTGACATTGATTGAATTTATAAACCAACTTATAAATTTTATCCAAAGGATAAATTTAAACTGATTGTCTAAAAGAGTTGTTTTTTAAGTTAAATAATTTTTTGAAGAATGCACAGTTAAAAGTAGAAAAAAATTTAAATCTAATAGGATGATTCGTCGAAATTATTACAGCGAAAAATGATTTTAAAAATATTTCTTCCAACACAAGCTTTAAGTATATTTACTGTGAATCTCATGAAATATTAAAATTAATAATGAACTTTCACTAACCTTTTAATTCTATTTTTTAAATGAACCAAACAGGATAATTGTATAGTTAGAAATATAGAGACAAGAATTCTAATACTTTGGATTGACTCGAGTTACCCAACAAGCAACGAGACTTCCCAACGCTCCACTCTTCTTAATAATTCACTTAAAAGTTTAAAGGGGGGAAAAAAAGTAGACACAAAACATCATTAGTAAGGACCAACTAAGAGATACTCCAAAGGATACATCACATCATGTTCCCCTTCTGGAAAAGCAAGAGAATGAGTTGAGAAAATATAGAACTTCATTTTAGTTTATGTTCATTAATGAGTTGGCCATGAAAAGTTGAGGAATTATGGGTGGTGTGTCCATGTTCAGGTCCCAATTTCTGCAATACTCTGCAAGGCTGGTCTCCATTGCCCTCCTCCAACATGGTGCCTGCCCGTGCCTCTGCCCCTACCACTGCTACTGAGGTGTTGCACGTCCTGCTGCGTCTAAAATACGGGCACAAAGAATCAAATAATAGAACAAGATTCAACAAAAGAAAAATAGTAATAAGCGATCATTTTACATTAGGTTAGTTTAATTTGATCTACTCTTATCTCGTTAGTACTGTTTATGCTGAAATCACACCGCTCTTGTGACACCACTCGTGTGACGGGTTTAGAGAAAGTAAAAAGCAGATTAGCCCCTGTTTGGCCCCCATTACGGGGAAAATTTAATGTATAGAATAGTGTTTTTTGAAAAATGAGTGGTTGAAAAAGAAAGAAAAATTTTCGATTTACGTGTAATATTATTTTATGGAAGATTGTGTGGTTAAAAATAGGAGAGAGAAAAATAAAATGTAATGTAATGTAATGAAAATCAAACAAGAGCTAAGTTAAAGCAAAGACAACCCTTCACACTCAATCACATCTGTATGCCATTTTGGCATTTGAAGTACAATTATTGAGTTAGTAATGACAGATTAACTTAGCTTTCATCTGCATTATACATGACAAATTATTGCTTCAAGAGTTCTCATAATTATGTTGGGTACAAGGTCTAATAATCTATGACTTGGCAGAGCAACAAATGTGATTCTGACGAGAGAATTTTCATAAGCGAAATGAAATGCCATGTCATCTCTCAGTCGATCTCAAATCCTATTAAACAAGAAAGTCGGGTAGGTATGATAGTAATCGAAATCATTAAACTACTTACTTTTGTTTGCTTAACTTAAATTGCAAGGGATTTACTCCCACGAATAAAAAGTATATATATGTTAGTACAATAGTTGGATACTTTTGTCTGCAGTTGTCACCAACCTCTCATAATATCAGGAGTACTGACTTTTAATTAAAGTTTAATTAAAACACTGAAGATTCTTGACAATAAGTGCCTCTTGGCTGTTCTCAGATCTCAGCACCAAATAAAAATATTCGAAGTTGAAATGGCAAATGCTTAATAAAGAAGTAGATTTAATTAAGTTTAACAACCAACATAATATTCTGATAAACGCTTTTCCAGTTTATGTTAAATACCCATACTGAGCGGGATAAAATCCCATGTGAACTCTTTATGATTACACAAATAATACCATATTTTAAAATAAAAAACACAAAATAATCTCGTCTAAAACCCATATGCTTCTTATGCAAAGCTTTTACAAATTATAGCAGACAAATTAAGTACTTGATTTCTAGTTTTGCTTCTGCTCGTTTGTAAAAGATTTTCCGAAGTTATCTTAGACCAATTTCTTTACAAGCTCAAAGCACTTCTAAAAAATTATTCAAAATATTTAAAATTATCTTCTTAATTTTATAAGCATCTTATAACTTTTCAACGGGTCCCAAGTACCTTATTTCTCATTTAAGCTTTAGAAACTTGAAATGTGCCTAGTGCCAGGTTGGGAGAGATTTTGAATTATTATTATTATTATTATTATTTTTTAACTCATGTGTCCAAATTTCGCCCGACTAATCCTGAGGAGTGGCAGTCTTCCCCTCTAGTTCGCCACCCAGGTAAATTCAGATGCGGATACAACTTATACACACTTGAGCCAAACATTCGGGATGCACTTCTCTTCCTATGGACCTTCCTCGTGACGTGCGGACAAGACCCTAGAGGGACGACAAAGAGCACCATAACTTTGCCATCACATGACAACTATCTTCCAACATAAATGTTACCTTTCAGCTGCCGCGGATTTGAACAACCCTTAGATTTTGAATTTTTTCTCAAACTAAGGTCTAAGCAGAGACTCGCATGTTCCTGACTCAAAAGACGAGTTGGGCCCGTCTCACATTAAACCTCTAAAAACATGCCTCTCACTACTAGTTTAACGAGCAACACAAACTCAACAAAAAGGCATAGAATAGATGAGGAGTAATTTCGTGAATCTTATTGAGCAAAAAGGAAAATCAGGTTCTGGGGTATAGAGATCCTTTTTCTATTTCGATGCACATGTAAAAAATAAAAAATAAAACTTTACAAATCGAAACACTTTTTCTTGAATTCAAATATGCTTTTATCAATAGACATGACACCAAAACAAGATACCAATCCCACTTTTCCAAGAAGAGAATAGATGACCCAGTATTTTCTTTAGCACTAAATTAACAACATATAAAAAATATTGTGGAAATTTTTTACCTTGTGCGAACTGCAATTTGCTGGTTTTGATTTAGATTTCTTCTTTGGCTCCAAATTGAGTGCTCCTCTTTCCTTCAACAACTTGCCCAGTTTCTTGCATTTCTTTTCAGCAAATTCTTTCAACACATCTTTTCACCATGAAGGAAAAAAAAAAAAAAAAAACCTGAGTTAATTAAGAAATCTTTGGAAGAAAATCAACTTCTTTTTTTTTTTTGCAATGTTGTACCTTCAAAGCTGACAAGTCGATAAACTTGTCCAATAAGCAAAGTGTCATCTGGTCGGAGAAGTTTCAGCTGCTTCACCGGCGTACCATTCCCTGTTTTCGCCGCCGGCGAGGTGATTATCAGTGCCACGTAATGACCGGGATTGGAAGCCATGACTTCATTAGCACAAACCGACTTGTAAATCCTCTCCACTTTGTTGTTTGGATGCAAAATCAACACCGTCGCTGCCTCTGCCGCTTGGCAGTTCCCCATTTTAATAACACTATCTCCGCCGTTTGCTACCTTCCGAACACCAATCTGATCAAATGAGTTAAGTGTAATTTATGAAGTAAGGGGTGGTTGAAGGGTTCTTTCAGTGCATAAATGAGAGGGAGTGACGATCAAGGAAGGAATCCTTTGATGCGACCAAGAAATCAGTCACCAGTGCCCGAGAAACTTATACATCCAATATTTTCTCTTTACTGTGCTAATTTTGAAAGAGAGGGAAGTGGGAAGAAATTCTGTTACGAGCTGATGATGGAACGTGAAAATGAAGCATAAATATATAGATATTTAGGGCTAATCATTCTGTTGCCCTTAAACTTTCACCCTTTTCTATTTGCTCACCAAATTTTAAATTATTACTCGATCGTCCCTCATCTTTCGATCAATTATTTATCCCTCATCCGTTAAATAGATGAATATATATAGGATTAAAATCTAAATTAATACATTGCCACTAAAAATTTCACCAAATTTCTACTCACTCACCCAATTTTAAACTGTTTCTCAACGGTCAAAAACATATTTCATTAATTAATATCTATCCGCCATCCGTTAAGAAAAGGATATCAATTGTTGACGAAAATCGCACGCGACAAACAAGAATCCCACAGGTCAAATTGACTTGGTACATAGCAAAAAAGGGGTTCCCTTCATTTTACAATGCATGTCTTTGCAAAATGAAGGAAAAATCGTGTTTTCTTGTATGAAGTTTCATTGATTTGAATCAAATTCACACTGTCGGTTTTGCTAGTCGGATTTTCCGTCAACATATGAAGCTACTTTTCTCAACAGATAGTGAATGAATAATTAACTAGGGGTGTCGATTTGGCTTGCTAGTTCGGGTGGCCCTTAACTCACCCTTGGAAAAGCCCGAGCAAGTCTAACTCGTGACTCTAAGGAACCAAGCCCAATTTTGGGGCGTTGGCTTGAGATTAGGCAAGCCCGTGTGGCTTGATGAGCCACACCTGCCATTTTCGGCCCATAACGAGTCGAGCAAAAAAAGTTAAATTTTTAAGTTTTATATCAATTTATTTTAGAAAAAAAACATAATTTTCAAATTCATTTGTTTCAGAAAAATTGTACATGAAATATTTTATTCTTATACAATTTTAACTCCAAATACATTGATTGTAGCATGTCCCAAACTTGAGAAAAGGAGGAGGATTATAACTTTTATTTAATTTATAATTCGTATAAATTGTCTAAATTTTAAATTCTTTAAAAAATGTTAGAATTATCACGGCTTTAAAAAATATAGAAAAGAAAAGAAAATGAGTTGGCCCGGCTCGTTAAATCCCCATTTGACCCCATCAATTTTCATTCCAGTACATTTCATTTTACTCTCTCTTATTTTTAATCACACAATCCTTCATAAAATAATATTACACGTAAATCGAAAATTTCTTATTCTTTTTCAATCCGTCAATTTTCAAAAAGATATTATTCCACAGGTTTTCTTTTCCACAAAATGGGGGCCGAACGGGGGGCTAAGATTTGAGTTGAAAGCTCGAATCGAGTCTAAATTTTTTAGTTGAGCAAAAGCTTTGCTTGACTTGAACAAAAGAAAAAAAGCTCGGATCATTTTTACTCGCGTTGAGCTTGAGGTTCGAGTTTCGACTAGTAACTTAACTCGTTGAGGTCTCGATAATTAACCTTTTAAAGTTAGTTGAACAAGTTCAAATCTGATGAAAGTTCAATGGTCATCGATTGATTTAACGAGTGTATCGATATGGGGATGGGTTAGCGTGGTGACGTGAAGTGCCAGAGCTGCCAAACCCACCTGCCCTGCCAACAGCAGTATGTAGTTTGCGACTTTTCCTTCGCAGGAATGGGTGGATTGATGTAGGGCGGATTAAAATTGCTATTCAATGATGGTACGGAATTGAGGTCATATACAGTGGTGCGTCTGACCAAAGTTCTGGACTATTTAACACCAACAAAGTCTGTGCATTACTTTGATAACGTGTCACCTAAAAAAAATATTTCTTATTTTAAGAAAAACAAAAACCACTCCCAAAAAAAATATTTTCCTTAAAAAAAAAAAAAATTAGACATATTTTCAAAAATTAGAAAATATTTTTAATGAAAATAATAATAATGAAACACTCAAAGTAAGAAATAGGGTAGAAAATTGATATTTTCCATGAAAGATAAATGTAATCAAATACATCATTATTTTTATAACTAATTTTTAAGGATACGACTACCTATATCCACAATTTTCATATATACATCCACATTTAAAAATATAATTATATTATGTCCTTGTTCGGAAGGCATTTTTTGGAAGAAGAAAATGAATTTTTGGACTGTTTGTTAGTCACTTTGGCCCCACATGAAAGTGTAATGGTCAATTGTTGCGGCTGCCAACAAGTAGTAACGGTAGGAAAATGAAATTTTTTGGCCCAAAAAATGCCCTCCAAACAGGATATATATTTTTTATTCTATGTAAATTTATCTAAATAGACATATATAAAATTAAATAAAAATATATCGTTCTAACTTCATCCACTAATATTTATTTTCATAATTTTTTAAAATTTTTTTATATTCTTTTACAGTTCATGTTAATTAAATTTCTAATAATAATAAAATATCATCTCCATTTAAAATCATAAAACCCTAGTCCTAAAATATTCTCTTTAACAGGAAAAAAACATAATATTAGAGTTATAATTTTTTCATGATGTGAAAAATGGAATATTGTTTTTTATACTTTTTAAGTATTGATTTGATAAATAAAAATGTATTTTAATATCTGCCCAAATATTCTTACGTTATAAAAGGAAACAAATTTGAAATTATAAATCGAAATACAAACAACCAAAATTATGACTTATGAGCTTATAAGCCAATAATAATAGTATCATCTTCATCTAAAATCATAAACCCTAATCATAAATATCTTCTTCAACAGAGATTAAAAAAAACAACATTATTAGAGTTATTCTTTCATGATATGGAAAATGTAATCTTATTTTTTTATGCTTTTTAAATATTGGTTTGAAAGATGAAAATATATGATAAATTTCAAAATAAGTACGTGTCCAAATATTCTTATACTACAAAATGAAACAAACTTAAAATTATCAATTGAAACACAAACAACCATATATATATATATGTGTGTGTGTGTGTGTGTGTGTGTGTGTTAACATAAGATTTGAGAAGAGATTTATTTGGTTGTTTGATCATTATACTTTTGATATAATCCTATAAAATTATAAATTCAAGAGAAGAAAGTTGTAACCTTTATAACTAAACATTAAAGTAACAACATGACAATATAGAAAATGAAAAGTAAGAACCAAATTAAATATTGATAGTGATTGACGAATATAGTGATTTTTAAAGATTTTTGAAATTGTATTAGGAATGTATTTATAGTGGGATATGAATATATAAAATTTGTATGGATCTATAATGTTTAAATAAATGAATTTAATAAAGACAATATTGAAATTTGACGTGAATGAAAATTGTAACTTTTTAAAATTTTAATAAGGATGTATATAAAATGAAATGCATATATTAGAATTTTGAACGTAAATAGCGGCACCCATCTTGAATCCTGCCGTCGTACATAGAATCATACTCGATAAGGTAGAATATATTTTAAATAAGATAATTTAATGTATCACACTTTTATTGGAAAACAAAAATGATTTACAAATGAAATAATGTATTTAAAATAAATTTAACTAGAAAAATATGTCACTCCTTAAAATTTAAACATGTTCTTTCAAGAAAAAAAAAACATTTATCACGCAGAACGTTGTAGTGGTTCAGTATAAAATGTTCATAAAATCTTAATTTAACAAGGAAGTATTACCTTCGAATTAAATTATAGAATAACAGATAATACCTTCATCAATATAGCATCACCAACCTGTCGTTGTATCAGGTGCAGTATCTCAAGTGTGCTATCCATGATGTCATCATCTATAGACCAAACCTAAACCCTAGTAGCGTTGGGGTTGAATTTATAATAAAGAACAAGAGCAAATAACTTAACCTCGGTTGGATAAGGATAAAAATCAAATTTTTAGCTCCCGTTTGTCCCCATTTTATAGAAATGAAAATAGGTAGAATATTATTTTTTTTTTTTTTAAAAAGAGTGGTTAAAAAAGAAGGATAATTTTTCAATTTACATGTAATATTATTTTATGAAAAATTATGTGGTTGAAAATAAGAGAGAGAAAAATGAAATATAATGGAATGAAAATTAACGGGGGTCAAACTGAAGCTAATAAATTTCGGTAAAAATAGATAAAATATATGACTAAAAGTTGTGGACTCATAAAATATATTATTAAAATTACTTATTAACTTTACCTTCAATTAAAATCTGAATTTTAATTTTCATCAAAAAAGTGTTTACCAAAGAAGGATTACCAAATTTAGAATTCCCACTGAGACTCCGAAGTATAAGAGTAGTAGAAATTACAGGAACTAATGCGTTTAGATATCACATTTCATAAATCATAGGTTAGGTTTACTATTTCAAAAATCAGATGTGTTTGTTAATTAATTAATATATTTTAAATGTTAATAATTATATTACAAAATTAAATATACATATTCATCCTACCCAACTACACATACCAAAAGCCTAATCATATTCATCCTCCCCATTCTTTCTCCATCTCTACTTCTCTAATCTCTCTAGCTGTCTGTTGTTGCCACCATCCGCGCTAGTGCCACCATACCATTGGCACCACCTCACCACACCCATAAAATCTCCAAACCTATGGCCGAAGCATCAACCTCCACCTTTGTTGTTGCAAATCTCTCACTGCTTTATTTCACCCAATCCGACAACTCCTCATCATTGCGGATCTTTATTTTCTAAATTTTTTTTGAGTGATGTGATGATTAATAGTTCGATGGTGGAGGTGTGCGATGCGGTGGTAGGAACGAAGATCTCTGGTAGGTGCGGTGGTGGTATGGTGTTGTGCGCGGTGGTGGTGCTACAATGGATGTGGAGTTATGCGATGCAATGTTGGGAACAGAGAGCTCTGGTGAGTGCCACGACAGTGTGTTGTGGGTGCGTTTGTAGTAGTGCATGAGGTGATTAGGACACATGCAGTACATGGTGTAGTACTATGTGCGGTGGTGTACTATATACGATGATATTGGCGACATGGTGGTGGATCTGGCATGATAATGTGGTGGTGTTTTCTGCGATAGGTTGATTTGTTTGAGTTGGTGGTGTTGCCGTCGAAAGATGGTGGTGGTGT